ATTCATATTATTTAGCCGAAAAAAACTGAAACTGACTGAAATAGGTCACTAGTTGCGAAGCAATATATTTAAAGTGCCTGTAAGCTCAGCGTTGATTGATATTTGGATCGTTCTCCGATGCTGCAGCTGACAACTTACGTCAACGACTTCGGCCCTGCGCTTTCACGAAGTATAAGCAAAACATTTGAAAGCGAACCTCATTTGCACACTTCGGTGAAATTTCACATAAAAGCAGATCAAAACCCCTTAAAAACTATAGGCGATTCCAAGTGAGGGGACAAGCACCCATGCTAGAAAAATCCGAGTTTAAAGCTAAAACTGAAGAAAACTCTCTTCCGCACTTTCCGCCCCTCCTCCTTTCCACAATCGCCTCTACTTGCCTATTTTATAAATTGAGGTGTTTTTTCGGAAATATTAACTTTTTCAGTTACTCTAACCAATACAACACCCACTAGTGGTCAACCTTCTGCTCATTTTCTAGATGGATTACCAATTCAACTGTTCTTCTGATAGGAGCAAATGGCAAGATTTTTGACGTCTCGCAATTTATCAGCACTTCAGTAACAGTATTCACCACCTGATAAAACTGCCTTTTCTTCCGAGCGGTTAACTTTTGTGATACGACAACAGACGGACAATAGATGGACGAAGCAGATAATGGAATGGCATCCACGCACAGTCAAGCGAACACTGGGGAGGCTACTAGTGAGGTGGAGGGATCCCATACTACGCCTGTACGATATTGCGTGGACTCGGGCAGCGCAACAACGAATCGAATGGAGAAATTGCCAGCGCTGCATCGATGGCACGACAACGAACATCGATGACGTACAGCTGCTCAAATATTCAAGTAAGTATGATGCCAGTACCAACAAAACAAGAAGGACGGAGAAAAAATTGTCAGCTGCATCGATGGCGGAGAAGAATGGAACAAAGAAACAGAATCTTTTCAAAGTACTAGAAAAACCGGTGATAACCATACCGACTGCAGCCGGGATAGATGCACGAACGAATCGTGGAAGCGGGAAATAATTGGAACTTTTGCCACGGCAGTCCACATCAAAACACTTCTGGAAACAGTAAAGTTTGTCCAGATCCACAACCCAGTACACTCCATTGCTTCGATGTTCACGGCCAATATTGAAGCAGTAACGGCAATGTGAAATCTTAAATATACAACAACTGAAACAAAGACAAATTTTGCTAGAAGACTTATTTCTTTGGTTTCCGTGTACGAAATTTCGGGAAAAAACAAAAAAAGTTTCCGAACAATCATACCTACAAGTGTTTCAAAAATTTCAAAGATACAAACAATGAATATCGCTGGTTAGGAGATTGGAAGAGGACGGGGCCTGAAAACAAGCCTTACTTAGAACAACAACTCTATCACACCCCACTAGATTCTTAAACTGCGATAATCTGGTCGTGGGCAGAACCACCTTTTGCAAATGAATATGGACCGAAAAAGAATCGAGCCACTTGTTTTGACATCTGCGACGTCCTAAACTATTTCATACTGGCCCTTATGCTAGAAGCTAAATCTGGCAGCACATCTACTGCGCATCTGCTTTAAGAAAGAATACACTTTTCCCCCTTTCTATGCGTTTTTGCCGTGCAGCGCTAGAGCGCTGCAATAGGCAGCAAAAACACATATTGCAAAACGCATATTGCAACGACCCTGTCAGTGTGTGTGTGCGTGCGTGTGCGTGTGTGTGTGTGCGTGTGTGTGTGTATGTGTGCGCGTGTGTGTGTGTGTGTGTTCGTCTGTCCGGGTATTTCAACTCGCTAACCACGCAAGCTTTGAAG